TATTCAGAAAAACACTACTTCACGACTTGTCAAATATGGGGAAAAAACAACCTCGGAGTTATGATGTTGGAGTGATTAAGTCAAAATGATTTAAAAACATACCCACACACTTCCCCCAAAATTGGGGAAAAAACTAATAATCTGACATTTTATAAAAGGTTACTTTCTGTTAGAAAGGACTTTGGTTTTAAAATATTAATCCATTTATAAACTACTATTAACACTATGTTATGGAAATGTATTTAAGCAAATTTAGAAGAACATCTGATAACAATAAACAGCTTTGGGCTGGGTGCCCAAAGCTCATGCCTATAATTCTAGCTACTGAGGAGGCAGAGATCAGGAGAATTGTGGTTCGAAGCCAGCCAGGGCAAATAGTTTGAGAGACCCTATCTCGAAAAAACCCATCAAAGAAAAAGGGCTAGTGGAGTGACTAAAGGTGTGAGCCCTGCATTCAAGCCCCAGTACCACCAAAAACAAACAAACAAACAAACAAAACAACAGCTTTGAAAATCTACACTAAATTATTGAAAATAACATCTGCAATTCTCAATTGAGAATCCTATCTCTCCAGGAATATTATATAACTTGGTGGGGGAGTTATAGAGAAATAATGATGATCTGTTTTTAGTGATATTTAATTCAAACAGCATTAAAGAAAGATGTATGAAAGGGAGCAAGGGTTAAAAATATTGCAAAAACAAAAACACTGAGCTACTAATTTATTAAACTATCATCTGTTATGCAATAAGTAGTTTAAGCTCACTTAATGGGGGCTATCAATTCATAAAAGGAAAAGCAGTCCAGACTAACATCTATTTTTTGTTAATGAGATCTAAAATATGCAAACTACTTATATTAATGTACTTTACTATAAAAGTTTGGGTCTAAGAGGCTGTTATGGTTTGCTGATTTTTTTTTTTTTGACCAAACTGGGGTTTGAACTCGGGGCCTCACACTTGCCAGCTTGCTAGGCATGTGCTCTACCACTTGAACTACTCCACTAGTCCAGTGCTGTTATGTATGGACTTTAAATGACTCTCAAAAGCCCATATGCTTAAGGCTTAGTCACCAGTCTATGGTGCTATTGGGAGATGGCAGACCTTTTAGAGGTGGGGCCTGGTGGAAGAAAGTTCAGATCATCAGAAGTACGCATAGAAGGGGATATTTGGGACCTGGACCCCTTCCCCTCTCTCTTTTGCTTCACAGCCCACATGAGGTGAGCAGATTTGCTCCACCATGCACTCACTGCCATGATGTTCTGCCTTACCACAAGCAACCATAAACTAAAGCCTCTGAAAACATGAGTCAAAAGGACCTTACCTCCTTATGTCTGTCTAAGCATTTTGTCACAGTGATGGAAGGCTGACTAACAAAGAAGCATTATGATCTGCAGAGTATGTGCTTTCAAACCAGATAGAGCTGAGGCTGAATTTAACTGCTTAATTTGCTGTTATCTTCTTGGGCAATTTATGTGATGCCAAGGTACGATTTTGGCATACTGTTCTGTAAAACTTATTTGCCAGAGCTGCTGAGGTTTAAAAGAGTGATAACATATGGAAGAGCCCTAGCACAGTGAAACACATAGCAAGCACGCAACAAATGTAGACTCTCTCTTTCCACCTTCACCCTTACTTCTCTAAAATGTGACCAAGCCTACAGGCCTGGCCACAAACACTAGAGTGTAAAATAATTGAAGAATCACAGAATAACAACAAAAATCTTCATTGCTAAGTGACAAGTGATTGTGTGAAAACTACAATATACACACACAAGACCACCTAATTTTAGGAAGTAACAAGGGACAAATGGCACCCACCTGATAAAAATGTATTTGTCAGGCGGGGCACTGGTGGCTCACACCTGTAATCCTATCTACTCAGGAGGCAGAGGATCATGGTTCGAAGCCAGCCCAAGAAAATAGTTCATGAGACCCTATCTCAAGAATACCCAACATAAAAAAATAGGGCTGGTGGAGTAGCTCAAGGTCAGAGTTCATGCCCTGGTACCACACACACACACAAAAGCATTTGTTGGGCTTTATTAATATAAAATGTTTCTGCACATATTATAGGCAGTTATATATGTGACTTTTTTTTCTTTTTTGGTGGTACTAGGGATTGAATTTAGGGCCTCACACTTGCCAAGCAGGTGCTCTGCCACTTAAGCCACATCTTTTTGCTTTAGTTATTTTTGGGATAGGGTCTTCCATTTATGCCAGGCAGGTCTGGACTACGATCCTCCTAATTTATGCTTCTTGCCTAGATGAGATTACAGTTGCACATCACCACACCCAACTTACTGGTTGGGATGGAGTCTTGCTAACTTTTTGCACAAGCTGACTTCAAACTGTGATCCTCCCCATTTCTGCCCCCTGAGTAGTTGGGATTGAGCCACTGCATCTGGCCGACTATGTGTGATTTTTTAAATCAGTTATGCTGAACACATATGACGTGCATTCATACAACTAAGCATCATGAGGTCAAACCCAACATTAGATATTATCAACATTAGGTGTTAACTTTGAAATTTATGTGTGTTTGGATTTGGTGGCCTTAATGTTATATCTATTGACGTGAGGTCAACCAAAATACCTCAATTTGAATCTTATGATTAAATCAAAGTGAAAATGATGAAGAGTATTTTCTCATGTTGGTCCTGGCTATGTTACCATAAATTTTTAAAAGGTCAAGATAAAATATGTCTTCATTAAAAGGTAACAGGTTAAATTTCCCAGCTTTTAGCATTTTAAATTATAATATCATTAACATATTTGGAAATCCTAAGATATTTTGACAAAGACTTCTTGTCTAATGCCAGTAAATTATTTATTTGAGTTATTAAATGTGTATGTGGCATAGCACCTGGAAGTTAGTCAAATGTTAAGTAACTTCTAGTATATAAACCATTTACTTCAATACTGCAAAGTACACTAAGAAACAAAATTTGATTTGCAAATGAAATATATATATCTTAATGTTACTGACATAATTACCTTTAGTAATACTTCACAGGTACTAGGAAAAATAAGAAAGATACAAGAAACTAATACAACGTGCAATTAAGTGACTTGCTCCTAATGAACAGAATATAGTAGAAGCAGAAGCAATGAGATGTGACATCAAAAAGTAGGTTCTAGCTGGGTTTTGGTGGCTTACACCTGCAATCCTAGCTACTTGGGAGGCAAGATCGGGAGAATAACAGTTAGAGTCTAGTCTGGGCAAATAGTTTCCAAGACCCCATCTCCAAAATAACCAGAGCAAAGTGGACTGGAAGTGTGGGTCAAGCAGTAAAGCTCCTGCAATGCAAGTGTGAAGCCTTGAGTTCAAAGCCCAAGTCCTACCAAAAAAAAAAAAAGGTGGGTATAAAAGAATGTGATTTCCATCTTGCATACTCTTACTCTCACATGGACTACTCATTCTAAGAAGGTCAGCTGCCATGGGCGGCCCTTTGAAGAAGTCATGTGAGAGAGCTTGGAAGCAGATTCCTCCTTAGATGAGTCTTCAGGTAAGACTGTGTCCCAGGACAGCAGCTGACCTGTAACTACTTGAGCCACAGGCTGTCAGCTAAGTTGTGCCCAGATCCTTAATTCTCAGAAACGGTGATAATAAACTAGTAGCTTAAGTTCTATAAGCATACCACATGGATAAGCATTCGTCCACAAACTACATTTTGAGTGGCACTGCTAAAAACAGCTTTACACCAAAGATTGTTTTCATGATTAGAGGAGAAAACTTAAAACACACTAAAAAATTGAACAAATCAACTTAATGCCAAATAACTTTCCCCCTTATAATCTGTGTAAGAAAAATATAAAACAGTATTATTTTTGTATAACTAAAATACAAATTTCAAAGGGACAAAAACTGGCATGACATTAAGCCATTGGGCCTGTTATTTATAAAGTATGTTGAACGAATGAATGATGGGCAGATTATATACAAAAAGGTATAAAATTAATGGCAAGACCTCAGTTAAGTTTTTATAAATGTAATAACTGAAAGAGTTAACATTTGGATTTTATAGTGATTTACCTGAATTATTCCATTTACATTCATAAGAGATAAAGTGTGGTACACATTTAGCAAGTATACTGGGTAAGTTCTACATTCCAGAAAATACATTAGCAGAACCATCAGTACAAATTTTGCCATAAATTTTGGTTAATAGTTGGCAGATATGGGTCTGTATTTCAGGCCTGGCATCAAGTCCTCACAGTTAATCACTGTATTATAGAGTAAAATACAAAATTAGCAAAAAAAGAAGGAAAAGTAGTTATTTTGTGGACTGATAATGGAACAAGTAAAATGAAAGCAGTGTGAGTGACAGTGGTAGAATATATTTCTGTCATAGAAAAACACAATTTATAGCCTAAATTTATTTTTAAGTGACACCATGATTTTGAAACCTCTGTGAAGTCTAACAAGTCTTAAGATGAAGAATATGAAACCATAAAAAAAAACTAAGAATACGGAAAATCTATTCAGACTTTAATAATTTTTTGACTACCCTGGAATGTGATAAACACTGTACTAAGAAGAACATTTGGGGAATGACTACAGATCCTCCCAGTGATCTAAATGGGCAATTTCTTCAATAATCATGACATCTAAAAAAGTTCATTTTTACCAGGCATAACCTTTCCTAAAAACTTAGATAAAAACAAATTTCAAGGAATAAAAACCTGTGTATTTCTGCTTAAAGACATTATTATTATTCATAAAAGACAAACTTAATTGTTATAATGGTTAGTCATTCCATGCAAATTTTTGTAAACTAAGATTTAAGGCAAAAATTGTACTGAGTTCTGATAATGTATTTATTGAAATGTAAAGCTGGAGATGGTTTCGATTTCATCTACACATACATGTTTATACTTAAAATGCTTCTCATATGTACATATATAAATGTATTGCTACTTTATGTCAACTTAGCTGTTCTCAAATATACTCTAATATATATTTTAGCCTTATGTACATGATTGTTATCTTTGCACTTACTTGCTAAGTCATGAAAATACATGTTACGGTTTGAATCTAAAAATGTCTCCAGGGGTCATGTGGGTTTGGGTGCAGCTGATGGGCTTTTTGAGAGGTGATTGGATCATCAGGGTTTTCACTTCATCCATAGATTAATCTGCTGATGGACTACTAGGAAGTGGGGCCTGGTTGGAGGAAGTAGGTCACTGAGGGGTGTGCTCTCAAAGTTTTATCTAGGCATTAGACCCTTCCCCTGGTTCTCTTTCTTGTCCACCCTAAGGCACATCACTCTGCTGCACCACATGCTTCCTGCCATGATTTCTGCCTCACCATATGTGGGTCCAGAAGCAATAAAGCCAGGTGACCACAGACTGAGACATCTGAAATCATGAGCCAAAATGTTCTCACTTATTTTGTGACACCAATGAAAATGACTAACCCATATACAATTTTATATCTTATGATATTGATTTCATTAAATTCTCTTTTTTGTGGAGGGAACTCAGGCTTGAACTCAGGGCCTTGTACTTGCTAGGCAGGCATGCTACCACTTAAGCCTCACCTCCAGCCCTAAACTCTCATTTAAAAAGAGCTTCAATGTTTGTTCTTGTGATTAAAGTTCATGGTTGGTGCAAAAATATTTTATGTGGAAATAAATAAAAGGAAAACAAATATATAATGCCATTATCCAGAAAGAATAACGATTAGTATTTTAGACACTCATGAATTTTGCTATGTCTATTCCCTTATATATTTTACATAAAATGAGGTTATGCTATGATCTTCTTTATAGCCTGTTTTTCAAATCTCCTCTTAATCATGGAATAATTTTTGTTTAGAGCTATTAGAATCATTTTTTCTTTCATAATTTTTCTATGTATATGGATATATACATTTAACACATAATTAATTGATTTAATTCTACATATAGTTCATGGTCTATGTTCTTCATTTAAGACTATAGGGTGAAGAATTTCCCATGTCATTATGATACCTCTGGGCATTTGAGTTTATCCTGTATGTGGTTTGCTGAAGTTCTTTAACTTCTTGTCCCAAAACCCTTGCCAAATAACTCCAATAATATAACATCACTTTTAATGACTATAATATTACATTGTATGCTTGGATCACATTTATGTAATAGCTCTGATACACAGCACTTAGTGTTTCTAATTTTTCTCTATTAGAAAAAATGCTGGTGAGTATTTATGCCTTTAAAGACTTACTAAAAAAGACACTTTAAAATAATGCACAAAGGAAATATTATCAAATTTTGCTGGGCAAAACTACCTGGGATGATAAAAGGAAACACACACATTTCCTTAACAAATAGTCTACTTACCTTCTTATCCACCTTCCTGTCTATTTACTATTTCTTTCCAAAAAGATTTTGAGATAGCTTATAAAAAAAAAATCAAAAAATTAAGTCAAAGGAAAACTACAAGATTAGGTGAAGAAAAGTAGTGTACCAACAATAATCAAAATAGTTGATCTTAAAATTACAGTTTAAATTTTCCAACAACTGGACGAAAGAACAACATATTTGATTATATCCCTCTTTTTAGAGGTAAGGAAACAAACCTCTTTATTTAGAGACTTTTTATATCAGGAATTATATTTTAAGAAGCCAATATTGCTCAAAGAAAATGCAGAAACAAAGCCAAGGGAGTATTTTTATAGTTCTTTATTCACATTAAAATGCAAATTAGACAGATAAAACCTGACAGCCTAAGTGACTCTTCTGATCTACTTTGATACCTCTATCATTTACTTCATATGGAAGAATCTGCTTTAGATTTTAAAATATTCACATTTAAATCAAAAGTCTGCCTCCAAATAGGCAAATAACCAGCTTTCAAAGTACTTGGAAAAAAATAAAGCAAAGAAACAAGGAGGGCATACAAAAGAGCACAGTATGGGACAACAGGATAAATGGACAAGGTTTCACATGGTAAAAACTTAATGAGGTCCTAAATAGGTTGTCTGTTAATAGAAGGAATTATTTTCTCATCTTCTTTTCTGAAAACAAGAACTTCCTAAATATTAACTTGACAGTAGTCAAAGTAGCAGCACGAGCCATTTCTCTTTTACCATACTGTCAGTGGTTTCATTTCAAGATATAGCTAACTTGAAAAACAAGAGAAAATAGAAAGCTAGAAGAAACAAAATAGAAAACATGAAGTGCTATTAAAGTTGCCTACATCTACTACAAAATTTAAAAATATATTTAAATAGGCAATATTTTCTGTTTACCAGAGGCCAAACAAGGAGTAAGTGCTCATGAAGTGGTATTTTATTATTCATGATTACTAATTTAGGTAGCTCAATAAAATATCTATTAGTAAAATAACAAGGAAATTGAGACTTAGAGAATTTGTGTAATTCATCCATGATTAGAAGAGACACTCAAGCCAAAATTCAAATCCAGATCGTCTTGAGTTTTGGGTTTTTTTTTTTTTTTTTTTTTTTGGTGCTGGAGCAGAGCCCACTTGCTTAATCAGTTTACTAACTATTGTTTAAGATGCCAGTCTTATTTTATCTTCATGGGATGCAGAATTGAGTTAACAAGTTTTTTTTCTTTATGTACTTTAAAGATTTGCTCCACTGTTTTCTAGACTCTGTTGATTCTGTTAAGCCCATGATCAATGAAATTGTTCCTGTATGGAATGTCATGTTTCTCTGCTAAGATTCCTAGGCATGGTATGCTTTCTACTTATGTCCAGGGTTCTCTGTGCTTCTGAAGCATGTAAATGTTTTCCCAATTTGAGAGATTTGGGCCATTATTATTATCTCTTTTTTCCCAATCTTTCTTTTCTTTTTGGAGCTTCAATTGAATAATTACTCAATTATTTTAATATTGTTCCATGGGTACTTATGTTACCTTTCTTGGGGTTTGTTTTAATCTTTTCCCTGAACCTTCTTCAGGTTAGATACTTTGTATTACTTTACCTTAAGGCTGACAGATCAATTCTTCTGCCATCTCATTTTTGCTATTAGACTCATCTAGTATTTCATTTTTAATGTCAGAAATTCCCATTTGAATATTTTTCCATATTTCTATTTTTTTGCCAGGATTTCTTTTCTTTTCTGTAGTTTTAATAGTTGTTGTAAAGTCTTTGTCAGATAGTATCAACATATCATCTTGGTGCTGTTATCTGTTGTCTTTTGAAAATAGTTCACATTTTCTAGGCTTGTATTTTAGACTGTATTCTGGATATTGTGAATGTTTTGTTGTGAGTACTCTGGATTCTGCTATATACTTCTACACAGCATTACTGTTTTTGTTGAACAGACAATTAATTTGAACTCAAGCTGAAAATTTATTAATATTTAGTGGGCAGAGAGAGGCTCAGATGTCAGTTTGGACTACTTTTCAGTTTGTCCCTGGCATGTATGAACTATACTTGCCAGAGACTTGGGTGAAACTTTTACAATGATTTAGAAATTCCATTCACTGACTCTGTTTCTGGGTTTGCTTCCTACTCTCTAGTCACCCTGTTTGCCCTGGCCCCCTTCTCTGGTTTATCTGGAAAGAAAGATAGCAGCGAGCTCCCTATTGGAACTTTAGCTATACCTTACTGTAACTGACCTTAAGGCTAACCTGCAAAAAAAATGAACCTTACTCTGTAACATTTCTTCCAAATTTTGATGACTTCCAAAATATGCCTTTTTTTTGTTCATTTTCCAGAGTTCTCAAGTAATTGATTTTTGTATTTTTATAGTTTATATTATAAATAGGAGCATACTATTTATAATAGTATTCTACCTCCATACTAGAGGTAGAAGTTTCTCAAAAATTAAAAAAAATAGATTCATACGTATTTCATAATTTTGAAGTATAAAATAACGTTTCCTCTAAAAAGTGCAGTTATTCCACACATCTAGACAGGTGTTTGTTGACAACACTGACTTTTCTCCAAGACAAAAAGGAAGGATGGCAGCCAAACAAACTCGAAACTATTGTAAAATTTTAATTCCAGACTGTTTCAGTTGGGTTACCACACTCCTTCAATCCTCAAGCATTTAAAGGAGATACTTGGAGGTACTCAGTTCCTAAATATGAACCTGCTCATTGAGCCATCATCCCTCCTCCTAAGGGCAGGGCTAAAGCAATTTCCATGAACATTCCCCAATTCCCACCTCCTCTCCAACTGCACTTGTTAAGATCTGTTTTTCTGGAACTCAAATCAATGACCTAATGATACATCTCAAACTCCTAGAAAAACAAGAACAAGCAAATCCCAAAACAAATAGAAGGAGAGAAATAATAAAAATAAGAAGCTGAAAAATCAATGAAATAGAAACCAAAAAGAACCATACAAAAGAATTAATGAAACAAAAAGTGGTTCTTGAAAAAATAAACAGATTGATAGAACCCTGGCAAACCTGACTAAAATGAGGAGAGAAAAAACCCAAATTAGTAAGAATCAGGAATGCAAAAGGGGAGATAACAACAACACCATGGAAGTCCAGGAAATCATCAGAGACTACTTTGAGAACCTATATTCAAATAAATTTGAAAATCTAAAAGAAATAGACAGATTTCTAGATACATTATGATCATCCAAAACTGATACCAAGAGGAAATTAATCACCTGAATAGACCTATAACACAAAATGAAATTGAAGCAAGAATCAAGAAGTCTCCCAAAAAGAAAAGTCCAGGATGTGGATTCTCTGCTGAATTCTATCAGACCTTTAAAGAAGAACTGATACCAACCCTCCTTAAACTGTTCCACAAATAGAAAGGGAAGGAAAACTGCCAAACATTTTATGAAGCCCAGTATTACACTTATCCCAAAACTAGGCAAAGACACCTCCAAAAAGGAGAAAATAGGCCAATCTCCTTAAATGAACATTGATGCAAAAAATCCTCAACAAAATATGGCAAACCGAATTCAACAACACTCAAAAAGATTATTCACCAACCAGTAGCTTCATCCGCAGGAATTCGCCCAGGATGCAGGGGTGGTTCAACATATGAAAATCAATAAACGTAATAAACCACATTAACAGAAGCAAAGACAAAAACCACTTGATCAT